GTTCCATTTGGCTTGCAATCTGCACAGAAATCAAGGTGATGCTGATGGATCTGAGCCGTGTCTGTGTCTGTGTGTGTCTGTGTGTGGTGGGGAAGTGGATTCCACTTACAGATTCCTCCGTTCCTCTCCTTGTTCTGCTGGTGGAGTGGGAATTCTACCCACACCGGCAGCCCTCCCTCTGTGGCTGCTCCTGGCACACTGGCTTGCACTCTCGGATGGTACCTCCTCCTCCTCCATCTCCTCCTCCTGAGAACACCCCATCTCCTATTCTTTGCTAACCTGTTTTAGCACAACTTCCTCCAAGTTCTTTGTTTAGGGAAGTTGGTGCTGTTCTTCCTGTTATAAAAGATTACTCATTACAGTGATTATGGTGTTGCTTCAAACAAATCAAGAAAGCATTTAAAGCAGTTTCTCTCCCTCCCTCCCACTTTTTTTAAAAAGGAAAAATATCTGACTGTTTTAAAGAACAATTCTGTCACTTTCAGCTTGCTCTCTGGGTTGCTTTAAGCCTCAAAAGCCTCTATTGTGGGTGCATTTAAATCTTAAAATCAGCTTTAATCAGACATAGGCAGTTGCAGGGGGGAAAATACCCCCCCCAAACACACCTAATCTTTAGCCAGTATCAAATAACATATTTTATATTTGCAAATATCTACCTTTTCAAACTAACTCAGCAAAACTGTCCATATGCCTACACTATTTTTGTGGACATCTGTGAACACCTGTAGTCTTGAAAGGAGGGAAGAGGATGTGGCTGAGAAGCTGGAGGTGCTCTATGATGAAGCCAAGATGCTCTCCACTTGCTCAGGAATATGCTTCTCCCTCTTTTCTGTCTCACCCCTGATGTGAAAATGAGCTCCCTAGGACTAGGTCTTGGTGGGTTCCTGGACACCTGAATCCCAGCAAGCCAAGCAGAGCACTTTCCTCTGTGGCACTTTTTAGACATGAGGGATGTCTGTGTGTGTGTGTGTGTTGAGGAGCCCCTCCCTTGCCAGATAGGCACTGGAGAAGTCCCACAGCTGATCAGACCCAAGGCCCTGTCTAGCCCAGCAGAATCCCCTTTATAGTCTGATAAAGTGGGTGTTGTTGCTGTCACATTCCACCAAATCACCTCCGTCGTATGGCCAACCTATGAATGAGTGACTTCAACAATGTCTGGTCCTTCACAGCCCTGCTCAGTTCTTGTAAACTCAAGATGTGGTTTCCTTAATGAAGTTAATCCATTTCATATCAGCTTTCCTCCTTTCCTGCTGCTTTCCACCCTTCCCAGCATTATTGTCTTTTCCAGCAAATCTTGTTGTCTCATGAGGTGCCCAAAACCTCTGTTTCATCATTATGGTTTCCAGAGCAAGTTTACCATTTACTGTATTTCTTTTCTGTTTATTATTTTCATTTATATGGCATTCTTCTCTCCAAAGAAACCTACAATGGCATACAACCCTAAAACAATACATAGAATAATAACTTTTCTGATATTATTGATAAAATGCCATAAAATCTAGCAACAACATAATTTTTTTGTTGTTTAGTCCTTAAGTCATGTCCGACTCCTCATGACCCCATGGACCAGAGCACGCCAGGCCCTCCTGTCTTCCACGGCCGGCCTCCCGGAGTTGGGTCAAATTCATGTTGGTCGCTTCAATGACCCTGTCCATCCATCTCGTCCTCTGTCGTCCCCTTCTCCTCTTGCCTTCACACTTTCCCAACATCAGGGTCAACCCCTTCACGGATTGCTGCCTTGTCATGGGGAAGGGGCTTGAGTCATTCAGAGATGGACGGGCTTCCTGAAGGAGGAGGCGCCTCCAGGCAGACGTGGCTCTGCTTTCCGGGCCAGGCAGCTGGTCCGTCAGGGAAAGGCCGCGCGTGCGGGCGGGGTGGGGAGGGGGGGAGAGCGGCGAAGCTCGTTTCTCCGAAGCGCTGTCCGTTTCCCCTCAACCCGATGGCCGCTGCCTGCCTTCCTCCTCCTCCTCCTCCTGCGGTTGCCTCGCTCCCCACCTCCCTGCTTGGTTTCATGCGAAGCGGAGCGCGCTGCGCAGGAGTCTCCCGAGGGAAGCCACGCTTGGCCAACGTTGCCCTCCGGCGGCGCGCGTCTGTAGAGCTTGGGGAAGTTTTAACCTCCGGCTCTCCCGGCCGCCGCCCACCCCGCTCGGAGAGGCACAGTAGGGCCACCTCCGTGGGACCCTCGCAGGCCCGGAGGAGGGCGTCAGCCGCATGTGACAACCCCCCTCCCCAGAAAGCCTGGACGAGGCGTTGCCTTTGGGGCAGAGCCTCGACGGAGACGCTTGTTGGGCCCCCTCTCGGCCGCAGAGCCGTCCTCGGAGGGGCTGCCTTGTTTGGTCAAGGCGCTCGTGCCAAAGGGTGGAGACCCCGCGAATCAATGGCCTTCCTGTTGCTAATCGCCCGGCTGAGACGCTGCTCCTCAAGGCTGTGGTTCCTTTCACTTCGTCCCTCCACCTCACCTTCGCCCACCTCCCCCCGCCCACCCTCACCACCATTTCACGACTGCTTTCCGGCTTTCCAAAGGCAAAGTCTGGCCTTTTCGCGGCCGTCCAAAGCAGGGTAGCCTCGGCGTGGACACGGCCGTTTCATAGGCTGGGCAGACGTCCTGGAAGCCAGAATCGGAGGCCGCCGAAAGCGAGAGAGGTCTCCGGGGTTAATGGCGGCTTCCAGAGCAGAGAGGTCGATTCTTGAGACCCCACCGGGCGGGAAGGCAGGAAGGGGCTGGAATCCTCCCCGGCGGGGACTCCCTTGTGCTTACGCCGCCGGGGCTCCCACCGAAACCTGCCCAGAGGAGTCGCGGGCCGGAGGGACATTCCCCGAGAAGGGGGTGTCCGCGGGGAATGCCCAGAAGAAGCGAAAGGGACTGGCGGCGGGGCCACCGCAGCAGCACCGCCTCCTTGGGTCCCTCCGGCTCCGTCATTCTCCGCTGGCCGCCCCGACGGGACGTAACGGGCGATGCTGCCGCTACTCCTGCTGCCCGCGGCGCTGTTTTTTGTGCGCTGC